CAGCAGGACATATAAACAGTTTGCTAATAGAGATGACTGGAGGTGTAGACAATGATAATGACTTCTGTATTTCATTTTCCTGTTATCCCATAATTTACACTTTTGCCTCTCTCACCATATTTTATTCATTCATTTCTTTTCCGTCCATCCTCTCAAAAAGTACTGGGTGGCTCTTATTTGTGAATAGCTTCATGGCCTTAACATTGGATTAAGTGGACTTCAGTCCACATTTGGCAGTTTTTAGGATGCCACAAGATTGCCTCAGTGTACTAATGATAGTTCTGCTGCTTTGTTGAACAGCAGTTGGTCATTACTAGAACATATTGGATGTATTATATTCTGATCTCTTCCACTTGTACGTATCTGGGATGGTTTAGTTTATGACACAATTAAGGGTAGGTTAATGTGCGAATTAGGATCCAAAATGGATTAAGTGGACTTCAGTCCACATTTGGACTCCAGTTGTTATTTGATTTCTAAACACATATATCCTTGTGAGTGTAGCCAGTGGAGGAAATGCCCCTGCATCTCAACAACATCTGTAGGCTCACATTTTGCCCACTTCTGCCATAGTTCAATAGTAAGCTTTTGCATTTTTCTATAATCTGTATGGCTGAATGTTTAACTCCCTCCCACTTGCTCACTTACTTTCCCTCCCTCACTATATCTGGAATTTATCTGGACTATCAAGTAGTTTGATCAAGCATCATTCATTTGTAGCTACTCACATTTAAGAGAATTAAAGCTCCGTTATTAAACTATACATAGTCTAATAACGGAGCTTTAATTCTCTCCCAAAAGGAGAGACTGATGGGGGACTATAACACAATAATCAAAGAGGATTGCCAGATATTATAGCATAGGCTGGAGTCTCAAGGAACGGCTGTGCTTCTCCCCATGTCTATTGCCCTTCTGCTAGCAGGCAAAGGCTTTCCGCCCAGGCAGGCCACCAGCATTTACCTGTGAGCCAGAGGTTATAAAATGAATGTGCTGTACATTTTAATATTTTCCTGCTAATGTATAATTAGTGTGGCATTTCGAAATTGCGCTAATTGGTGATTTAATAGTATAAGTTATTAAATATGCATCTTAACATGTATAATTTATTGTGTTTTTATAAGTTCCTGGTTTAATTAGCTTGGAAGCCATCTTGCATCCCAACCGTGGGAGAACAGTAGAATAGAAACCAACCAACTAATTAAATACTAAATAATCCAGATGTGCAAGTGGAAGACCAATCCCAGGGTGAGCAGCACTGGATGTGGAGGACGTCTGGTTTTTTGCCTGTGTGATGGCTTTAAAACTTCGGCTTTCAGCCCAATTCTTTTCCAGCTGGCACTTGAGCTTTCTGGCTCAATGTGAAGGTATTTGCATATGCTTTCAGCTTCTATAACAGTGAGGGACCGAAAAGCCAGAATGATAGTGGTGCATATAAGTGGTGCATATATTTTGGCTCATCATGCCAAGGCAAGAGATCTATAAACACTCTTATTGTATAAGCCCTGAAAACTGTGATGTAGACCTGGGTGGGGTAATCTTGCTAAAGGCAATAGCCAAGGTATGCTGCAGCTAATGCTCATATTGTAGTAGAGCCAATGACCAACAGAGTTGATCAGAACTGCTGATTGAAAACTTGACATCTTACACCATGCAGGCAAAACAGAGTGCTCCATCCCACACAGTTCCGAGTCTTCTCCCCATTGTCCCTGCAGCTGTCAAATCCCAAGACAAGCTCCTGCCTCTGCTGTTTCCTGATGGGGAATGGAAGGTAGATATTGAAGCAGCTGGTCTTGGCTCAGAAGAGGAAGAAATAAGGATGTGCTTACAGATGGAGTGCACTCTCCTTTACCTTCCCCTAGGAGCTCCAAGCAGCTGCCTTTTCATCATTGGCATTGCCATCTCCTTTCCCCCTTCCCCACTGATAAGCAGCAACAGTGGCATCTCCCAGAACTGATGCAGGGGTGGTTGCCACGAGCAAAGGGCTAGAGAACAGATCCTTATTCAAAAATGCACATGTGTGTGAAAGCTGCCTTGGGTCCACTTGTGGAGAAAGGCGAGGTACAAATATCTTAATTTTTTTAAGCCACGCTGATGCATCTATACGTAACTAAGAGCAAGCTGCCTTTAGAGTTTCTGTATACTATACAGACAATACAGGGAAAGTAGTTGTATTCGATTTTAGCAATTTAACCCTGTAATTCCCATTCAATACTACTTCTTCCATGCATAAAAAGGCTGGCACTGTCAATATCCATTGCCTTGTTGATGTATCATTATCATCATCATCACAATAATTTCCAGCTCCTTAACATTAATAGTATCACTTTTTATTATTTTTATTTTTATTGTGGGAATAAATTGTATGAACAAAAACTATTGCCAATAGCGGCACTTAATAGGAGAAGCACATCAAAATCAGATGTTGGAAAAATTTTATTTTGCTTGGAAATTTTTCTTCGGGTGTACTACAACTCCAGTGTTTTGTTAACATCCATGTTTGAAAAAGTGGCAACAACATCTGGGGAAAAGATGCTTTTTCTGTTCAAACCAAAGCTTTGAAAATTTTATTTGGTGAGTTTACCATGTTCTAAAAAGCAGTGCTTGTCTTGTTATGAAAAACAGATCTGGGAAAATGTTTTTCTGTTCAGCGTGGAGCCTGGAAAGTATTTCTAAAAGAGAAATATTTGTAATGTTTTAGATTTTGTGTTTTTCTATTTCAACATGCTATGAGCTATGGTACATGTTGAACATAGCTGGATTAATGATAGAACTTACCTCATGACATCAAGAGAGTCCATTCCTAGGTCTCTGGTTTTGGCCCTAAATTTTCACAACATGTTCCGTAGAGTGCATTTTTATGCAAACAATATCTGTTATTTATTTGAGAAACTGCAAGTCGCTTCTCATGTGAGAAAATAGGCAGTCTGCCAGAACCTTGCCCAGTGGGCACCCTGATGTTTTACCATCCAGGAGGAGGCTTCTCTTATGTCCCCGTGTGGAAAGCTGGAGCTGACAGATGGGAGCTCACCCTGTTTTGCGGATTCAAACTGCTGACCTTCAGGTCAGCAGTCCTGCCTGCACAAGGGTTTGACCCATTGCACCACCGTGGCTCTAATTATTAATTGAAAAGTGGTGATGCACCATTTTACTGTTTCAACCTGGCAGGAGATGAGAAGAGGATACATAGGCATGGTTCAGGCATTTTAAGGATAACCAGCCAAACAAGACAACCTGGATAAGTTTAAGTGTAGCAGTGTTCACTCCTACATCAACCGAACAGATAACTATCCAAAGGGTTGCTGTAAGTTTTGGAGCTGTATGACCATGTTCTAGAAGCATTATCTCATGAGGTTTTACCTGCATCTATGGCAGGCATCCTCAGAGGTTGTGAGGTCTTTTGGATGTTGAAAAATCCTCTCAACAAAGGATTCCCCCAGGCAGTAAGAAGCCAATCCTTGAAACTGCTAGGCCATTAAATGCTAATCAAAGTGCCAATTGAAACATTCACACCTACCTCCAACAGACAAGAGTTCTTTATCCCCCTGGACATTCCACAGATATATAAACCTTTTCCTAGTTTCCAACAGACCTCACAACCTCTGAGGATGCCTGCCATAAATACAGGCGAAATGTCAGGAGTGAATGCTTCTGGAATATGGCCATACAGCCCAAAAAACTTACAGCAACCCAGTAATTACAGCCATGAAAGCCTTCAACAACAAACTATCCAAAGATTTTTTTTCTCAAAGCCTCACACTCTTCCTTCTAAGCAAAGAACTATGGAGTCAAGTTGATTCCAGAGACTGTTGGGAATGACGAGGCCTGCATTGTGGCAGTGGCACAAGCAGTAGCAGCAGTAGCAGCGTGGAGTTACCGGAGTTATTATTGCAAGTGGCTGCACCATATCACTGTAGTGGAGGCTTTTGAGATGTGTGGTGGCAGGCCCGTAGCCAGGATTTCATTTCGGGGGGGGGGAATTTCGGGGGGTTTCGGGGGGCTGAGTTTCGGGGGGGGCTGAGTCTGAGTGAAAGAGGGTCTAGCCTAGCAAACCTTTTGTATCATTACCCCAATACCCCCATGCATATGGGATATATTGATTATGGTGATCAGATCATGATATGAATAAACATAACAGTTTAAATAATGCACCAGTAAGGCCTTTTCGCGAACCACCATGAGAATTTCGGGGGGGGGGGGGTTAAGCCCCTCAAGCCCCCCCCCTCCCCGGCTGCATTCCTGTGTGGTGGCAAGTGGGAAACATTTGCTGGTCTGGTGGTAAAGTGTATTGGGCTGATCCTTGATATGAAATGGCCAAAAACACACGCTGGGGTGCAGGAAAACATACAGACAGCAATTCCTTAAGCTCTGAACTTTCAAATGAGGAATGAATAATCTGTTTTTTATTCTCCTCTCCAAAAAGGCAGTTATGGGAAGATGTCCAACGAGTTTCCGCACTACATCAAAGTGATGTATTAGTGGGTGATTGCTTTTAGGAAACGTCTGATGAACTAAAATTAATGTTTTCAAATGTGACACAAGTTATACTTGTGGTTCACGGATGACTTCTTCCTTCCTTACCACTAAGAGGTGGAGTCACTGACAAGTATGACTAGTTGGGGGTTATACAGCCATTAGAAGACATCAAATATTTATTGACTGTTCTTTGTATGCACAGGGATGGGAAGAAAGAAAAAAATACACTTCCTGTAATTTTAGCTATATAGTAAAATGCTCTGCTGGCTATTAAAACCCTCATCAGTAAAAATGAATATACAGTAGCAGTAGAAGAGAATTAAAGCATTCTCAATACTATGTAGCAAGGGAACTGAATTCAGAATATCAGACTAACTTGCAATATCATCTATCTACACTAGATGGCAAAATGGTGTCATTTTTCACCTTGCTGTCCCACAAAATTTGGGTACACTGTTTGTATAGGTTGAGTATCTCTTATCCAAAATGCTTGGAACCAGAAATAACTTGGATTTTTTTTTCAGATTTTCAAATATCTATATTGCATAATGAAGACAGGACCCAAATCTAAACATGAGATGAATTTATGTTTCATATTCTCCTTATAAACCTCTTACAAATCAAGTGCCCTGATAAATTTGTGAGTATGTTTCAAGACACCATGTGGATACCTAAAACTGTGGAAATCCTAAACTTGAGTTGAAAGCATACCATAGAATTCCACTGGAAGACAAAGAAAGGCCCACAAACACTTCGGGAAGGAGGGGGGATATTTTGGGAGCATGAGTAAGTGAAACTGTGGATATCAAATGCATGGATGAGGGGGGTCATGCTGTATATAATGTCTTTCCATTAAGCTCTATTATGCTTATTAGCTCACTGTGTGATAGATATAGCTATATATATGTTAAAATACAGTGGCACCATCATGAACGTATCCCATTTAGTACCTTAAATGCTTTAAGAAGGGATTGGTCTTGGGCTGAAATCTAATTGGCTTAACTTTTAATACATTTCAAAATATTCCATCTGTAAAACTCTGAGCTTTGGCAAAGTTACTAGCTTGGAGTATAACTCCGCAAAATCCCCCGGTGAATGTCTCCAGAATCCAGTGGCTATGCTGGCTGTGGGTTTCTGGAAGTTGGAATCCCCAAAATCGGCTTTAGAAAAGCTCTGTCCTTTTCTGGATGGACCTTTTTAAAACTGGAAATGTTATTTTGTAGGGACTGGAAATGTGGATGGAGTGAAATTACTTCGCTTCCTCATTCCAAATCATATGACCACAAGGAATTTGTATGTGTGTTGTTTACATCCTCTGTTGACAGTTCAGGTACAAAGGTTTGGATAGATTCTGCTTACTTCCTAGGGGAAGAGGTTTTGGGGGTAGACAGAGTGGAATTTTATTAGTGCCCCCACTTGGTTTGATAATTGAGGCCACTGAAATATGCAGTGTCTTGGAATATCTTTTTTTAAAAAAAAAATCTTTAGAAGCTACAACTGGTATAGAATATAGCTGTCCATTATCGGGCAGTGCTGAGATATAGGAATTATATAACACCAGTTCTGTATAAATCATGTTCACCTCTAGAACTAATTAAAGTGTCACTGGGGTGTATATTCTTATTAAAACTGTTTTAGTGTTTCCAATTCAGATCATCTGAGGCCATGAGGTTTCCAGGCCAAAACTGGAGACCTGGAAACATCCCCTGGTGATGTCTGTAAAGATCCCTTACCTACTTGGCTATCTTGGCAGGGCCCAGAAAGCAGGCTGGGTGGTTTCAGTTAGGAAAGGCCTGGCAGTAAGTTGTTGGAGCCATTTTGGAGCAGGGAAAAACTCCAAGCCAGTAGGGGGAGTGGCTGAAGCCTGGGCCAGCCCAGCAACAGCAGGGATTGGTTTAAAGGTTAGGGGCGGAGATAGTCACTTGGAGGGAAAAGGAGAGAAGAGATAGTTTTAGTTCAGTTCAGCTCAGGGAGTTAGAGAGTTCAGTTCTGTTAGTGAGTAGTGCAGCTTAGTTCTGAGGAAGAGAATAGAGAATAGAATTGCAGTTGTTAGAAGTCTCTGTGTAATATAGGCAGACTGCCTAGGGTCTGTACAGTACTGTTAGCTGTGACAGACTGGTGTCAGCTGTTTCTGAGAATAGAGAATAGCTGGGTGTTTATATTTTGAGTAACTGTAACAAAGATAGACCATTTCTCTCACGAAACCATTACGATTCAAGCAGCAAGAACACTTTCTCTGTAACCATTCAAGCTTCTGTACCAGCATTCTGCTTGTTAAAGATAACTTGTAAACAATAAACTCTTTCTTATTTTTTAAACAAACGCCTGTAAGACCATTATGGTTTTCTCTTTTTTTACAGCAACCCCGCTCTCCGTTTCATTAGGATTGTTCAATACGAACAGTTTCCTTGTACACACAAGCTTTTTATATTTCTTACACCCTTAACCTACAGCAAGATGGTTTGATATTTAATCTATGTTGAGCTCTACCTTTTTTTTCCCTTTAAACCTTCTAATCTCCCTACTTTTTTCTTTTTTTTTCTCCTATCCTCTTCTCCCTTCCCCCATCTCTTCTTGTCTTTCCC